TCCGAGCCGGGTTTGCGGGTTCGGAAGGCCAGAGAGGAACGAATACTGCTCGGGCAACTCGGTGATGGGTTCGAGGGTCACCCCCAACTCCACTTCTACGCTCTGGCAACTGGGAGGTGTCTTGTCTTTCATCATGGACACTCCCCCACCTTGGGACTCTGGAGGCTACGTCCCAGGAGCTAGTTTAGGGCACATTTATTCTCGTGTGTGTGTGAGTGTGTGTGTGTGTGTGTGTGTGTGTGTGTGTGTGTGTACACTCTCCTCCTATTCTGGCGTGTGTGTGTGTGTGTGTGTCTACTCTCCTCCCTAGAGTGTGTGTGTGTGTGTGTGAGTGTACACTCTCCTCCTATTCTGGCGCGTGTGTGTGTGTGTCTCTACTCTCCTCCCTAGGGCTCTTCTGGAGGCAACGTCCTGGAAGCTAGCTGTCTGTCTGTCTGCCTGTTAGGATACTCTCCTCCCTGGGGCTCTGGAGCCTACGTCCTGGAAGCTAGTTTAGGACATACTCATTCGTGTGTGTTTCTATGTGTCTCTGTGTGTGCTTATTGTTCCCGATGCTGTTGGTCATGTGCAGTACCTCCAAATTGACAAGAATTCAGAGTTCACCCCAGAACACTGAGCTATGGGCCCAACTGTACTGTACGGTAAATAATAGATACCTAGTTTTAAGTTCTAAAGGAACATGCTACTGGAGTTGAAATCGAAAGGGAGGAGAAAAAGCAACTACAATATGCTTGTACCTCAAACATTCACCCTCTTACACTTTTTATTTTAACAGTAATAAGTGGGAAATTAAGGCCCGTAAAAAGAAATAATGGCTTTTCTTTGAAATTAGAGTAATTGTGTGTAATGTTATAGTAGATATAAGTGGATTCAGATTGGGCCAAATAAATGTCAGAAAGATCTAGACTTTCTATTGGGTCTTATGGGATAACAGTTTAGGAAAGATAGCTATAAATGAGACAAAGTGTTGTAAAGACTTTATAAAAGGGGGAACCACCGTTATTAGATTCATATTAATATAGAAACAATTTATCTTGAGGAAGGTTGATCTTGGTAATTTGAGAGGTAGTAAATATTCCTTTGTAGTGTAAAATGTAACTGAGTTGATATTATTAGAGAAACCTGGAACTGAAAAATTTTCATATCTAGCATTGCAAGTTCTCCGAAAACAGCGTTCTGAATTAAAGATTAAAAGTAAATAAGAGTTTGTCTGTATACAGAACAGCAAGCTAAACTAAAAGGGAAATTCACCATTAATGATGATGTCATGTGCATTGTTATTAAGATTCAATTTTTAATGTCAGGTTTTACTCTCAATTGTTTTCTTGAGTAGAATTTTATATTTAGTCTGTCGTTTGGGCTACTTAATATAGAAGTTGGGCAGAGAGGTCACAGGAGACAGGCCAATGATGATTGAAAGTATTGGCCTGAAGATAGTGCTAAAGTTTACTAATGGGTGTATTAATGCAAAGGTTTCCAAAGTTCGGTTTCGGAAATTTAATGTGTTAGTACCACATCCTGCTAAGCTTTTGGCAGAAAAAGAAAATCATTAGGCCGCTACCAGCTACTTTGGGTAAAGACTGTCAGGCTGGTTCTTTGTTAATAAGTCCTTCAAGTTGCTCTCACTGTAAATGATGTCATAGTAAGGAAGGGAAGTTAAGGGTAGGGATCCTCCTTTTCTTTAGGCGCCTTGTCTCAAAAAACAAACCAAAAGAGAGAGAATTTCAACAGCATAACATGTCAAGTTAAATTATTTTTTTAACTTTCATTTTTCTCTCATATATGACATCCTGACCACAGTTTCCCCTCCTTCTACTCTTCCCTCCACCTCTCCTCTCCCCTAGATCAACTCCTCCTCTGTTTCCCTTCAAAAATTTTTTTTTCTTTTTCTTTTTTTTTCAAGAGCAGTCCTCCCAGGGATATCCGCCGAACATAGCCTAACAAGATACAGTAAGACTGGGCACATGGCATCACAGTAGGAGGAAAGGGTACCAAGTTCAGACAAAAGAGCTCAAGACACCCCCCCACTCCCATTGTTGGGAGTCCCACAAGAACACCAAGCTACACAACCTAAGGTATATGCAGAGGACCTAGTGAAGACCCATATAGGGTCTGTGTTTGTCAATTCAGTCTCCGAGTCCCTGTGAGCCCTGCTTAGTTGATTCTGTGGGCTGTATTCTCATAGTGTCCTCATCCCCCCTCTGGCTCCTACAGTCCTACCCCTCTTCTTATTTTAAATATGATTTTTAAGTATTTTGTCCATTGTCTTTAAGTTAAATTAAAATTTAAAACCTAAGTGTGTTAGTTTATAATATCACTGAATGGTAATCATAATCACTGTTCATAAAGGAAATAATCAAGGACTCTGCTTTTCTTCTAAGTTTAGTTTTTAAGATTTTGTCTGAAATTTTTCCTGTTACCCTCAAAATTGTTTTGATATAATATGACATTCTGGTGAGCAAATATTTTGATCTTATAGTGTTGTGTATATTTTATGTAGCATTTAGTTGTATTTTTGACATAAATTCTTGGTAAAGTGCCATAAGTACCACACTGAAGGAAACAAATTATTCCCTGGAAATCTTTAAACATTACAAAATATCTTATTTCAGTTAGAGAGTTACAAAACAAGAAAGAGAAAAAAACAAAGCAAAAAACTCCATGTTCCACTGAACTTACGGAAAACCCCAAAGCTGAAAAGTCCATAGAAGTTACTTCTGTATCTGTGTGTGCAGGGGTAAATGTCTTCTAATCATAGTTCCTTATACGATATATTATTCAGGCTGCCAGAACCTAAGCCAGCCTGCTGTTCATTGACAGTAGAAGAGAATTAAATCCAATTAGATTTTCTTGCCCATTTCCTTACCTCATGCAAAACTCAACTTGCACTTACAAGTCAATACTGGTTTGATGTTTAAACCTTAATTGCCTTGAGTGAAAATTGAAAGAGAGGAAAAAGACATCCTTACCTTTGTGTGTAAGGAAAATCCAGCACATACTGCAATCTGAAAAATCATTGTTCAGAATTCCTATCAGCATATCCCTGCTTCATGACCAAATTTGGTTTGATCTGTGCAACCTCACATGGCAGTCATTCAAGAAATCTAAGGTATGATGCAGTTCAGTTAAACTCATTCCTTGGATTTATCCCCTTGAAGGTTAAGTCAGATATGGATGTATCTTGTGACTTAGAACTTGTAAAATAATTTTGAAAACATAGGATTTTAGGTTGTGTAATGTGTATTTCAAGTCAAAGAAGTGAACTGAAAAAAAAATAGGATCTGATATATAGGTTTACTTTATTTAATTTATTCAAAAGATAGAGATGCATCTTAACTATAAAATTTTCATTTACAAGGTTTTGATTTCTTCCGAGGAAGCCAGGTTCATTTAGTAAATTCATAACTATATCTTTAATGACAAACATCTGCCTTACAAAGTAAAATTAACCATTTGTTTTTATTATTTGTATTGGGGTGTATGCGAGTGCATATGTGTATGCACGTATGCAGGCAGGTACCCAGGGAGGCCAGGAGAGGGCATTGGATGGATCACTAGGAGGTAGTTACAGGCTACTTAAGCTGCTTGACAGGGATGTTAGGAATAGAACTCAGGTCTTCTAGAAGAATAATAGGAGATCCTAACTCCTGAGCCATCTTTCCAGTCCCAAAATTAATATCTTAGAACTTCAATCCCATAAGAATGTTTTGTCAAATGAGTAAAATAACAACACATTATCCTTTTAACAAACCTGTATATATGGGACTGAATGCTAATGTGTCAGTAGCTTCTTAGCAAAAGGATACTTTCAGAATAATCAAAATTGATACCATTTTAAAATGATAACCAAATAAAGTCATTCTTCCCATTAGGAATGCTTCCAGTTGCTAAGGGACAACAGCTGGGGCTTAAATAAGTAAAACTTTATTTTTCTCATATCACAGACATTTTAGAAATAGGCTCATATTTCTGCTGCTTCCAAGACCCAAATTTACAGTCTATCATGCTTAGTCGCTCACTTTTGAAATCAGTTCCAATTGGGTGGTCCCTTTTTATCAGGGAAGTAAGATCTTTTCAGAGGCCTCCTAGCAGATCACTACTTCAGAGCTGGGTCATATGAACACCAGTTGCAAGGGGACTTATTTTTACGTGCATTGATATCAATGTGAGGATACCAGATTCTCTAGAACTGGAGTTAGAGATAGTTGTGAACTGCCATGTAGGTATTGGGAATTGAGCCCAGGTCCTTTGAAAGAGCAGCCAGTGCTCTTAACTGCTGAGCCATCTCTCCAGCCCCAGATTTAATTTTTAAGATAGGTTGAATACTAAGAGGAACAATGTAATTATTTAGGAGAGCAGTCCTCTAAAGAAGAGAAAAAGAGGGACAGAAGGTCTAGGTATACACCTGCCTGCTCCCTAGTTTTTCCTAAAGCAAAAAAAGCTGGATCCCAAAATATACACCAG